CACACTTTCATTATTGTTTGCTTACATTATATAGCATTTCTGTGGCGCGAGAAATCGTAATAAACTAGAGCTTTTAAATAAACGCATTTTAAGATATATATTTAACGAGTGTAAATTCTAGTTATGACGAGCTGTTAAAGAAGGCTAAGACAACATATTTGCACAGTGGAAGAATTCACAACATGCTTATTGTAGTTTTTAAAAGCTTATTTGTCTCTGCTTATCCTAAATATCTTAAGAAACTGTTCTCTCTTTTTTAAGAGGAAATAATGTACTGATCTTACCTGAACCTAGGACAACCAGTTATGAACTCGAGTCCATCAAATACAACGCTGCAAAGCAATCGAACTCGCTCTCAGACGACATGAGAAAAATAACATCACTCAATGACTTTTTCAAAAAGTCCTTAAAGAAATGTTAATTCTCATTAGGATCACTTTTAATAATTTTTAATAACTTTCAATTTTCAATAATTTTATTTATTTTCTCGGAAAAATTAGCTCAATAAAATTACTCCGTAAATTCAAGGTAAAATAAAGTTTATGTTATGGTGTGTTTGTCCGCCGGGAGAAAACAGTGGCCGTTGTAGAGAGGAAATGTTTTCCCCTGTTACGCAAACTAAACTAAACGCTTACGCCGACGATCATCAGATCTACCACCATGATGTGCACCCACTTGTTATAGATAGGTACATTTGTAATGACGTCGACAAGGCAAATCAATGGTACAGCTAAAACGGCATGATCGTGAACGCAAAGAAACACAAAGCTTTAATTATTGGTCAAACTGACCTCAAATTCTCTTTTCCAGTGAAATGCGAGTTTGATATTTTCGGAATGACTATAGACAATACAATTAATTTTGGCAGCCACATATCTACTGTTTGTTACGGTTCCGCAACATCATCTCTAAGGACACGATGCTCAAGTTGTACAAGGCATTCATTCTGCCACACTTCTATTATTGTTCTTCAGTGTAGCATTTTTGAGGAACACGCAACAGTGAAAAGCTGCAGGCTTTTAATAAGCGTATTCTTAGATTTATGTTAAATGATTATACTTCACACTACACCACTTTGCTTAACAAGGTTGAAATGACTTCTTTGTATAACAAGCGCATTCAGAATTTCTTAATACTAATTTACAAGAGTCTATTTTTTAATGAGTATCCAACTTATATGAGGAATATGTTTTTTACTGTTCACCATACAACCTATAATTTGCGCGGTACCCATATGTTGACTCTAAGTAAGCCTAGAACAACAACCTATGGACTACACTCTTTTCCTTATTTTTCAGCCCAGCAATGGAATGATCTTCCCGACGAATTAAGGAGCAGTACTTTTAATGATTTTAAGCGACGTGTGCAAAGTCTCAATACGTTTGATTAGTTTTCACTAATTTTTGTCTTATTTTGTGTGTATTTTTTTTTCCAGTTGTAGATATCTTAATTTGTTTCTCGAAGATATTAGCTATATAGTGTAGCTACTCTAACATTCGAGTTAAAATAAAGGTTATGTATGTATGTATATAGGTGACCGTTAGTCGGAGGTTCTACTTCACTGAACGGCTCACACAATTGGCTGTAAAAACAATAGAAATGGTGACATAAAAATGCCCCTATCCCTGAAAGCAAAAGGCAATATTGTTTTAGTCAGACCACTGAAATTAGAGGTTCATGTGAGGTAGTGGACTACTGAAATTTGAAGCTCTTGCAGACAAGACCAAACACAAAAAAGATTTATATTTGAATATGTCTAGCCCATTTTCTTGATCTGCTCAAACTAACAACTCTCTAATGCAACGCCTTTGCTGATGCTCCACAAATCATTGTCTACTGACCGATTTATATTATTTTCAGCTTCAGTTAATGATGAATCGTCTGGTGATATTATTCGTAGTTGCTGTGGCCGTAGTTATGTGTTCTGTACCAAGTGAAGGTAGAATCAAATATCTTTTTCATTCCATACATTTGGGTTCGTTTCTCTAACTTATTAATAATCCACGATAATCAATAAAGGAAAAAAAAAAAGGAAACCACCACTTTAAAGGAGGTCTGAAGATTGGACTCTTATTAGTGTAGCATAAAATTTCTTCAAGAATTATTGTTCATTTGAACGCTATATCACACACTCGACACAGTGTTTCATGCGATGTACCTCGAAATCGGGGAAAGGGGAGAGGGCTTTCATAATTAAGCTATTTAGGTATGGTAGCGTGTCCTGTGATAGGATAACTAATTCCTACAAAGCGCAGGACCTAAACCTAAAAGTATCTTTTTACCCCTCAAGTTCCAAAAGTGACCAACATGAATTTTCTTCTCGCAATATCAATACATTATCAAAAGAAAAGGTAATGGGAATTAATAAAATGATCACCTTAGGGAAAATACTGTGATCTTTTATCAAATTCTATCAACTAATTCTTTAGGGAAATGTATGGAGATCAGTTTGGAGAAGTTGTTAGTGGATATCGGGGCTTAAAGAGTTAAAGGGGCTGTGTCTTGGCCGTCCAATTATGCCAATAGGGAGTTTAAGCAGCGACTTGTTGGAGCGACGCATGTTAAACGGAAGTAGACTGTTTGCACTCTTGAGCCGTGATTTTGAACAAATGTTTGGGCAAATCGTCTCTATAAAAATGAAGACACTTAGCAATACAAATATGGCAGCGTCAAGGCTTATTAAGGCTCACTTCCGGTTGACGTGTGTCGTTCAAAAACGGCGCTGCTTAAGCTTCCTAACAACGCGTCCTTCACCTTATTCGCTAAAACAAAACCACAACTTCGTGTCAAACAAATATGTCTCCCAAGCATTAAATGCAATTACAAACGACAAAAATAAACTTTTAAAAACTGTTAGGCTAGCAAGTTTTTAAAAACCAAATTGCAATCCGTTGCAATCTTCTTCAGTTTGTCCATCCGTGCTTCCTTTTGTATTTTGCTGTTATTTTTTTTCCTTCCCTTAACTTTTTGAGCGGCTATTTTTTGATTCACTCAATTTGTTGGCAGTTCTTGATAAATTCGTGACACAGCTTCTTTAAGTGGGGGGTCGATTCTCGTTTCTGGTCCTTAAAGAGGAGGTCAATTTGCATTTATATCGCTTAAATTCACCATTTTCACATAGACCACAATATAACTTGTTTACACCACCCCCCTCCCCTCCACCCCGCCAAAAATAAAATTCGGTTAACCATTTCTTTTTTTGATTTCTCCTGGTATTAAGTCGTCCCAAGAGAAATCATACCTGTCCTAAATTGTCTAGCCTTCGTGAAGACGTCTTCTATTCCCTTTGCTGCACGCGGAAAAGGCTCTTTCCTACGCAGAGGTTCAGTGACACGTTATTGGAGTTCCGCTGCTCAAAGTGAGTGCAGGAGCGAAAACCGAAACATTCTTCCGATGCTTACCAAACAATTTTCGCTCCTTTGAGCGTCTGCGGAATAGAGACCGCTGAAGTCACTTTTCTGCGTGCAACAAAGGAATAGGAGACGTCTGTACGCAGGCTAAAATTGTCCGGAGTATGCCCGCCCCTGGCATTCATGACAAGTAAACTACTTTTTTATTTCTTTTACTAGGACGAGATACTTACAAAGCAGTACAAGTAGACTGTGCTTTAATATGCAAACAAAGCTGCCCCAATGGCTGTGCCTACACGCAAACACCAGGAGGCGGTTGTGAATTTATTGTATGTAATTCCTAGTAGGTCTCTTTGTTACTCCCGGGTGTGCAAAAAACCAAGAAATGATAGAAGCATAAAAAACGCTGCTATAAAACCGAAGATGTTCAGTAGATTGATGGAAATCATATCATAGTTTTGTACCTTGTTTAGAGAACTACAGTTTTTTCATTAAACGTGTAACATTGGTTGGACTGCATTGAAATCTGTATTTTGCTTTCTGGTTTCATTAATATTTAAATAAGGAGAAACGAGCGCGAATGTATTGCTTAAACAAGCATGGAAAAACACGTGCCAAGGGTAATGACGTCATTACTAATGTTATCTCCGCCAATCAGCATTTCGCATGGACTTTTTCGATGCAGATATTCAAATTCCAGAGACGTAGTTGCAAGCTCTTCTTCCTCTTCCCACCCTGCCGTCAGAGAGCGCCGGAGAGCTTGCTCGCAGGCTAGACCGGACGCAACGTTCTATCCATTGGGCTAATTAAGCCAACTGGAGAGCAGGCCATTGTGAGTTCGTAATATGCCCGATGGTGGAAATAACATGGATGTAAATATATGAAACGACATATTTTAAACTGCGGATAAAGATATAAGGAAATGATCCTCGTTATTCATATGAGAGGATCATTTCCACTTTTGTTTCAATACATGTGTTCATAACTCAATATGGAATAGGTTCACACATACGTGTATAAGGAGACCAGTTTGCTGTATGTTTCCACTAAATATCCAAGAAATAATTCAGTCCCCGTAGAGTCCAATTCAAGCGATAGCAGTTTGTCTGGGTGCCCTGGCTTCTTGTAATTCAAACTGACAATTGGTCAGTCACTTCTTCATTTTCAGACTCATTGCTGATGCTATCTGCCATACGCTTTTGAAACTTTCTTCACTCCGACACTAGCATAGGGTCTGAATGGTATGTCGGCATTTCTACGAGCAGAGATGATTCTAGAAAGTTATGGGGAAGTTGATTCTAATCAATTCACTACTGGAAATACCCCACACCAGCCAGTGCAGAGCAGTACAGTGCCCATCAATAAAAAAAACTACAAATATGTAAATCAACACATGATACCTTCACCAATAACCAGAAACTCATCATGTGTCAGGCAACCACTGTCTCGTGTAAATAGGCCATTTCCGAGTTCCCCAGGGACTCTGTATCAAAACGAGGTTAGGTGCGCAACCTTTCTTGTGAAAATGAGTTTTATTTACATGACAATGAAAAATCATTTCCATATCAAATGTTGAGCACCTAAACTCGTTTTGATACAGAGGCCCTGGGGAACTCGGAAATGGCCTATTTAACTGGATTTTATACCAAGCCGACTTCGGGTTAAAATAGAAAATCTTTCTCTTCGAAATAATAAAAAAACATGGAAACTTTTTTAAAACTGGCTTTGCCCAAATTTCTCTTGCCTCCCAAAAATCTGAGTTGCTTAAGATGTAAAAGGGGGGAAGGGGGGGAAGGGGGGGGAAGGGGGGAAGGGGGGGAAGGGGGGGCTTCAGCCCATGGCAGCTGGCGGAGAGGCGCGAGTTCGAACCCTGCCAATTGAGTGTGGGTTTTTATTTTTTCCTTTCTTTCTTTTCTTTTTCTTTCCTACTTTTACCATTTTTCACGATCAATTGCACACACCACAAAAACAAGAGAGGTGCGAAGAGACTCGGAAAGGAGACACAGAGCAGTTCGCTTCACTCGATTTCTGGACTAAAGGTTAATGTTTGACCCGGGGCGTTCATTTGGTCTCAAATATGATCTGATTCGTTGACTGCATTAAGGCGAAAGAAATGCAGTAAACATGAGTAATGCTTACCGCCACTAGAAGAGATTTCCTCCATATAAATCCTCGTGAACTCCAACGTGCTGCTCTGCCTTGTTGGTTTGGGCCAGCATTAATAAACAGGACGGCTAAGCGGTTGCTCCTTCAAATTAGCAACCAAAAAACGCGCGGCAGCGTTTCTCTGTTTAATTTATTTCTTTGCGCTATTTTCCGTATATTACATTCTGCGTAATTATGTCATTCCGCAAGCCATGCCTCATGCCATTCCGCACACTCATTCCGCCTTTTACCCTCACCGACACGAAACCAGAGAATCCGAACACCGAAACCGCATTGTTTTGAAGCTGCTCTCCAAAGCAGTGTAAAGTCCCATTCACACGAACCTAGATAAAAAATAATTTTATGCGGTTTCAAAAAAGTCCGGATTTGTGAACATGGGCCTTGATCGTATCTGCGCAAATTCGCACGTCTATCACGCTTTTTAATATATTTTTTTAGCTACAACCATCCATGTACCATTTAACAGTAACTGTGGAAACTGCTGCGTGTTCATTGGCCGCGAGCTATTGTCATAAGGTCATTTCTAGTTGCGTTGGGTCTGTTCTTTTTAGATCACAAACGAATCTAAAAGACAATTAAAAAAGTGGAAGGGTTTGAAGGATCTTTTTATCAGGGTGATTTGCCGTAAGTTTCCTACTTTGGCTGTAAATCGGACATCCGCACGACAATAAAGGCGTTAATGCCGAGTCACGTCACGGAGCCCTCCTGAACAGAGTACTACCGAGCTTGATTCCTTGCTAGGAGATCACTCGTGGTACATTCTAACTATACACTTCTGTGACACTGTCATGAAGCGAGAGTAGACTGGAATCAAGCGTTCCAGGTTGGACCTGTTGAGACAAAATCCAGCGCTAGTACCGGAGCATTCTAACCTAGAACAATGGAATACTTAAAATACCTGCCTCGCAGACTGACCAAGCGGAGCTCGGGGGAAAGATATAACGATAGGAATTAAAGGGGGCAAAACCAGGAAAAAAATCACTTAACCAGGACTCGAAACCAGGATCAGTCTCATGATAGGAAGACTGAATGCCATCACATTAAGAAATCCTAAAACCCCTTATAGCCTTTTGAGGCTATTTGAGCCGTTTCCTGCTCACGAACTGCCAAAAACGTTGTTCACAAGTCGAACACTACGCAGACTTTTGTTGTTCATGGCTTGAAGTTGTTGCTGTTGATAAATTAAGGCTTCCAAAGTCCGGGCTTACGGTTTTGTTTGTCGTGGTTGTGTTGCTAGGCAACTGCGGACACGACCCTGATAAAGGATCCACGGGAGAAGTATGAAAACCCTACTTTCACAAAAGCTCCCGCCAACAAAAGACGAGAAAATTCCCACGTTATTTTATCATGTTAAAGAGGTTTCATTGGGATGATCATACCACAAAATTTCGTCCCCACACTCAAAAGTCATCACTACATTAATGCATGTATTCAATCTGGGAGTGATAGGTTCACACGTACGTGTATAAGGAGTCGAGTTTGATGCATGTATCCACTAAAGATCCAAGAAAAATTTCAGTCTCCTTAGAGTCCCATTCAAGCTGCTTGCATGGTTCTATAAACTGTCGTGAATAAAAAAGAAAACGAAACCAATTACCAGTGTTTTACCAGGCCGGGGGATTCCCGCGGAATTCCCGCCAAAGGAGTGCCTAAGAGAGGAGGCAACGAGCCAAACGCGTAGAAGAACTAGAAAATGTTCGTACACTCATCGTCTAAAGCGTTTAATCGACTTTTATCATCGTTGGTCACACACACGTGGCGTAATGGCATATCACCGCAATCTTTAATCACAAAACAACTATAATAGGGTCATACATGTAGTACTAACCGCAAAACCCTTTCGAGTGCGTGCGCTTGTTGCGGCGTGGCGTATGTTTGTTGACATATACGTGTACGGATAGCTTGGCCCCCGTTAAATTCCTTCGGGGCTTCATTTCAGAGGATGGGGCCCTCGGCCTCCTAAAGTAAAAAAAACCTTAAAAGAACACTGAATCACCAAAGGCTAGTACTAGCTATCAAATTGGCTGTATAGCATAATAAAAGGCTTGACATTCTCTCGACATTTTTGGGGGGAGGGAGGGGGGCATTTTGAGACCGTTTGTCAATGCTTCTCAACCTTCTTTATGTTCTTAAAATTAAGAAGTAGTATGACACGCTCAACCAGCTATTTCGAATAGAGTAAGCGCCCCGTATCTACACAACCCGTTTAAATCTCACTTGCTTGGTATTCATTGAGGAGATGCAGGGTTGAGTCCGGTGTCCCGCTTAAGTGATCGCAATCGCGATAGAACAGTTGTCATACAACCATCGCGATGGCGATGGAGCGAAGGCGATTCAATAATAGCAATTTAGCAATTGCGATCGCTATAGAGTGCTCGCGATACAGTTCTGGAGATCGCTATATAGTAATCGCTATACAACAGCTTACTGTCACGATGGCGATACAGCAATGAAGCGAAAGCACAACAATCGCGATACAACTATCGCGATCGCCATAGACAAACCGCACACCCAACCATCGCAATAGCGATAAGGTAATTGCAATGTAACAAAGGCAATCACCAAAGAGCAACCGCGACAAAACTATCACAAAAGCGATACATCTCGCAATCGCGGTACAACTATCGCGATAAAACTAACACGAAAACGATACAATTATCGGAAATAGAACTATTGCGATAGCGCTATAGTAATCGCGATCGTAATAAAATAAACCAGACACAATGATAACGGTACAACTATCGCAAACGCAATAGGGTTACCGTCTCGATCGTGATCGAAGAATTACCAGAGAGAGACCTTATACCAATGCTCTTAAAAGTGACTTCGGCGAACACCTTACTACAGACCAACGTAAGGGTGTGCTAATTTTACAGGGTAAAACCTGACTTGCAAAACTCTGTTGAAGTCACAGTGCAGCAGCAACTGAGGCGTAGTTGTGTTGCTGTAATTTCGAGTTACGGTTGTAACGAAAACAAACCCTACCTTTTCCACAAAGTCACTTAAAACATCCTTAACCTCCTTGCTGTGGATGAGACCAGCTGCTATATTAAGCAGGGATCGACAGAGTGTCTAGAAATAGAAAAAAATACGATTCATGAGCGTAAATACATCATTCAAAAGGCATTAATGTTTCAAGTGGGCTTCACTAAAATGATATTAGAGACCTTTAGATTCGAGGACGAGAACGACTATACGAGTACGAGATTTGAATTGAAGTTTTTTGCGTCTTCTCAAAATATAGACTTCCAGGAAAGCTTCATTTTACCATTTTTCACTAGAAAAGTTAGCACTGTTATCTTAAGTGAAGGAGGTTACGCGCTTTCCCGATCGCAAAATGGTAAAACAGTTGTTATCTTGGTTTCGCCAGCACGTCATTCGCGCTAAAACTCGTAGTAGAATGACGACGGCTACCACATTTTCCCGCCAAAATGACGCTGCATCACGCGCGAGCACTACTTAGTATAGAGAAAATCTCGTACTCGTACTCGTCTTAGAATCTAAAGGTCTCTATTGTCGCGTGATGAGAGACGATATCAAGCATCCAGTCCAAATATGATACTACGGCAAAGCCGGACCCACTCAAACAGCCGATAACGACTACAGCACAACGCCTACGAAACTTATGACAAATTGAAACACCATTTTATTTTCTCCTCTCGCCGTCCTTATTGCGCAAGCCCTTCTCCTTGTTGCACACTACTATGGTTAACTCTGGTTCATAAACTACTCTGGATGGTCAGTCCAGTGTTTTTATAGTATAAACCGAATCAAGTAGACTGCTCATTTTGCTTTCCCGCGCGCGTATTTCGAACGTGCCACCGAGAGGGAATGGGACGATTCGTTTGCTTGTTCCAATCCTCTTCGGCCAAATTTCTACCACATGCTACTTTCAAAGTCAAAAACGAGGTAATTTCGAAAAGAAACTGTTGCACGCTGTCTAAAAAGAAGAAGCTCCCGGTTTACTTTTCAACTAAACTGTTGTACCTTAAAATTCGCTTCCACGGACTTCGTAAGCTTTTTGGTGAACTTTTTGCTTATGTCAATGCAAACTAAACTAAAAAAGAGAGAGAAACAAAGTTGTTACTTAAACATTCTTAAGGTTAATCAAAAACTCTGTAAAAGATAGCAAACATTTTAAACATTCTCCTATTCATGGTAAATAATCTACGGCTTTATTTAAATTTATTTAAAGCAATATTTATCCAGGAGCATCCAATTTAGCAGAGCTAGTTTAAATGGAGCCCTGACACAAACAAACCCATTTAAAAATAAAAGAGACAAGACATTTATTTACTGTGGCAACATGTACAGGTTATAATTGTCTAAGATGATTCACCGAGCGTGGCTATTTGCCTGATGTTTTCCGGTAGAGTGTTGTATGTGCGAGCACTGTTTTAGCCTGTTCCAGGCTCCGAGATAGTCGAGTCCGCGAAATTGACAAAGCACCAGATCACGTGCTCATAATTTCGCGTGCCTTTCACCTACCTGGGGCCCGTTTCTCGAAAGTCCCGGTAACTTTTCGGGCCCGAAATCAAATATTCAAATCGAAATATAAAGAATAAGAGCGCGGGTCCAGGCTAGCAAACTACTCCATTTCGTTTCATTAACTGATAGTTTTATCATGTCAGATGCAAAACTATTGAAACCTCGATCTTTAATGTAAACAGACACAGCTTACCGGGCAAGTTGATTAGCGGGACTTTCGAGAAACGGGCCCCTGGAACAAGCTAGCACCGTGTATTCTAAAGCTTCCTTGGTATTTAGCAGTTTTCACAGGAGGAGGAGGCAGCAAATCATGGCCTCTGGTGTTGTAGCCATGAACATATTACTTGTCACAATATAGTTACTTACTTGTCACAATAATGTGAATAAGAAAACAAAACAAAACACGAATTTATGTTTCTTTATTTTTTGTTACAATATGTACTGCACCGAACACTAAATCTCTGGAGT